AACGTGCCGCTAGCGTACGCCAGCGTGCCGCTGGTGACGCTGGTGAAGCTAGATCGATATGCATCCTCTCTTCGGCACTGCCGCTGGCGTACGCTGGAAGCGCTACGCTACGCTGCCGCAAAGTATAAACGCAGCCTTACAGGATTGGGTGACACCACATGGAATCAAAGGGCGTTGGGAAAACTCTTGCCTACTTGGAATGGAAGGGCGTTGAGTACCTGAAGAAGGTGGAATAAGCAGGTCACCTGACCTAAACCCCTCAATTACCTGGTTCGGGCGGAGTTCAATAGGGTGGTCTACAGTGGCGGAGAAATCAACGATCTCGCTGAACTCAGGCACCCACTCACGGTCGCGTGGCAGAATCTCTCGATGGCGCTCCTCCAGAAGGCTGTGGCGGAGTATCATGATAGTATTTAATATGCTCTTTAATATGGTGGTAGAAATGTCCGATAAGAATTTAATAAAGTGTAACTTATAGCGCCTCGAAAGTCAAGGAAGAAAAAAGTCTTTTTTTTGCCCCCCCCCCCCCCTGTAGAGCGAACGTGCTCATATAAGTAAGCAGCAACAACTGCGCCGTTGTTTGATACGCTTTGAGACCGAATAGTTCATCGTTTTCTGGCCCAACTACACCGAAAGTAAATAAACGTATATAAAAGCAAAAGGTTACCTGGTCCCAGTAGCCCAGTTTTTGAAACAACGGTTGCAAATTTGATGAGAACGTGCATACCCATTGGAGATCGTCGAGTAACTGCTTGCGATCAGGATATAGGAGATAGAAGTAACCGTCTAGAAGGGTACATGAGTCTTACAGAATAACTCAATGCATTCTCGATGTTGTATAAGCTACACTCAAAATCCCTGAGATACGGTAGGCGCGGCTACGTAATCGAATTGAACGTGGCGGCGGCCAAGGTTTTGTGAGATATTTTCATTTTTGGGACGATTATAATAATGTCTTTGATGAACACAGAACAAGATGGCAGTTGTCTCGTATTGAAATATCCCACAAAAACCCATCCTATGTCAAACGCCACGCCTACTCTGAGGGATAAGGAGTGTATACTGGGCCGAAATATAATTTTCATGCAACATCAGTTATAGTAAAGGTTTTCTAAACTTACATATGTACGTAGCGACCACAACCAGTATATAGAGAGGAATGATCCGTTTGAACCTGCGTGAGTAGAAAATCCGAATAGACGTAAGTGAAAATTCTTTCTCGCGAAGAATTTTAGTCATCAGGAAACCAGATAGTACGAAAAACCTACACGAAAAAGAATTTCCTGTAAGAGACAGAAAGCGACAATGCTGAAAACTCTGAAAATATGACTTACATGTCCACTCCTATAAAGCCGATCGCATAATTAGGACATATGAGATCGCAATTCCTCGAATACCTTGCAGATCCACTCTCTTAGAAGAGCTAAATCGTAGACATGGTTCGTTGGCGAAGACCAAGAGGCCAGTAAAACTCATTGAACTGACTTTAGTATTGCAACTTCTATTATTTGTTTCACCTATGCTCTCCTTACTTGCTGAGTTTCATGAATAGACACGGTAACATCTGTGCCAATTCCAGTCATAGGTTTCTCAAAGGGGAGCGAGTAGGTACATACTCTCTCCATGCATGGATCCTGGTACGCATGGATCCTGGTTATCAATTCTGTCAGGGTTTCTATGTATAAAGTATATAAAATGCCCTTTGCCATCCTGTCTGAGTTTTGATGAAGAAGCTTGACTCGCGAGATGATGGTCATCTAGATGCTCTTTCGACAACTCATAGGATAAAACGAGTCAACAGTAGCCAGAGATTTTTTTGAGGTCTGGCTCTTCCAGATACCTTCAAGAACTTGGTTGAGTCTCTCGATTGTTGGCTGACTCCTGCCAGGAACTTTACTACGCTTTTTTTCGTGAATTTGGGGTACCAAAATTAATGAACTTCCCCATACACTCGCCTTCTTAACAGGGTACAGCATCGTGATGTGTGGAATGGTGGTGCCAGTACGACCCTCCCTTCCTCTCGAGGCAGCTTCTCAGTACGACCCCTCCCCACCTAAATGAAGGTCTCGGTACGACCTCCACTTCCCCAGCACCCACAAATTCCCACACTTTCCAGTTTTTCACCCACAGATTTTCCAGCCAGGCACATCATTGGTTGGGGATTTTGGTCGAGTCCGTACGACCCTTTTTGGGGGTTGGTACGACCCCCCCCCTCCGGCCCTCTGTCCCTCCTCATCGAATCGAGCCGTCGAGCGGGGGTAAATAGCACATGTGAAACAGGAAAAGCCGCGAGACAATACGACCCCCCCTTCTACCAATTCTCAGATTTTCCCCAACTTCTGCCACTTTTTCCAAAATTTCCCGAAAACTTCCCTACTTTTCCCCAAAAATTTTACTGTCGAGCGGGGGAGGGGTGTATAGTACGCATGAAATAGGAAAATCACAAAAGTCAACCGCTCCTACAACCCCAACACGTGAATACGACCCCCCCCCTCCCAACAATGACCAAGTACGATCCACCTCTCCCCCTTTACAACGTCCGTGAAGCGATAAAACCCGAAAAATCAACTACCGATATAATTTTCCTCAGCCCAAGTACGACCCCCTCCTATTCCCCAACAACGATGTGCCCTGTTTCCAGCAGGGGGAAGGGAGTAAACAGTACACATGAAACAGGAAAAATCACGCGAAAAGTCAACAAGCGAGAAAAATGTCCTAAAGTGGCAAATTTCTGCCTAAGCCACATACGACATCCTCTCCCAAAAGCGACCAATTGCGACCCCCTCCCCAGCTGAAAAGTGACTCCCCTATGTGTTTCACACAACGATGCTGTACCCTGCTTCTCACATGGTGTTAAGGCCAGTGTTTTCGTCCTCGCGGGCGAGTCTGGTACCAAATAACTAGGGCCAGGGGCCTGCTTACCAGGAAAGTCTGCCAACTTACCATGGAACTTTGAATGGAGACCTGGGTAGATCGATAGAGTCTATAAGGTTATTTACAAATATAGATAGCAAAACTGCAACCTGCATTTCACAAGCAACTTATGAGCAGGTAAAGTTTGTAATGGTGCAGTAGGGTGGAGGCTTGGTGGTGAGCTGTGAAGCATAAGTCGATCTACCCAGGTCTCCATCCAAATTTCCACGGTGAGTTGGCGGACTTCCCTGGTTAGTACCCTTGTCGTGGGCCGCATGTGGTACGTGACGCCACTTGTCACTACACTATCTCCGCACCATTAAGCTGCAAAGCATTTTTATGTTGCTACATGGTATGCTCGAATACTGCTCTAGTATTGCCGACGTAAAGGAGAACAAGTGAATTAAAACGGCCGAAGATGGTAGTTCCTTGCTTCTTCTATGTTTCTTTTCAGCTGCTATGTTTCCGTTCCAACAATGAAGATCAGCTCTTCAGACAGTGTTTTCTTTCGTCAATCTGCAAAACTGAAAAACCCAAATCACTACTAATTGTAAGTCTTCGTATATATATGCGTTGATTAAGAAATGTTCCCCCAGAGTGGTTAGCAGGTAAAGCCTTGAAACAATATCGTACAGAAACTTACTTAGCCACATCCCTAGTAATGCAGGCCTTGTGCTGTCAGCAATCACCCAGCTGAATGATGATGATGAATTCAACAGAAATGTTCCGTGTAATTAGAAACGTCGTGGTTCTCTTTCAATATTACTTGTGATATGTAATCAAATGCTCACTGTGTCGTTCGTCATCTCTCATCCAGCTACGATCAAACGAAATGTCTCCCCTGGAGTTTCGGCTAACTGAAATAAAAATATAGCACTGTATACACCGAAAGGGAAAAGTCTTGCGCATTCACGTTTATACGGTAAGGCTGCGTTCATACCGTGCGACGGGCCGCTCTCTCCCGTCCAACATAACCGACGAAAGCGACGCAACCGACGTGTTCGACGACTACTTCACGAGATTAGATACGCATCGATTTGACGACGTAACCGACGTTTCGACGAAAGTGACGAAATCGACGTAAGCGACGTAAGGCTGCGTTTATACTTTGCGGCAGCGTAGCGTAGCGCTTCCAGCGTACGCCAGCGGCAGTGTCGGGGAAAGGATAGATATCGATCTAGCGTTCCCAGCGTCACCAGCGTACGCTAGCGCACGCTGGCGTAGCGAGGGCACGGGAAGCATAGCTATCGATCTAGCTTCACCAGCGTTTCACTAGCGTTTCGCTAGCGTTTGCCAGCGGCTAGAGAGTATAGAAGAGTAGGAGAGTACAAAATACTCTCCTACTCTTCTATACTCTCTAGCCCCGCCGCTGCAAACGCTAGCGAAACGCTAGTGAAACGCTAGTGAAACGCTGGAAGCGCTACGCTACGCTGCCGCAAAGTATAAACGCAGCCTAACCGACGTAACCGACGACTACTTCGCGAAAATTAGATACGGATTGAGTGATATGGCAAGGCCCAACTGGCATCACGCATGCCTTGATAAGAGTCAAAATAAAATGAAATGAAAATAAACGGGTAATAGCAATATGACGCTGAACACTATATCTAGTGGGAATTCATCGATTCCACGTAAGCCACGTGTCAATTGTCGTGGTATTTTTCTCCGAAACTGTGAAGAAGAAGAAAGGTTGTAAGGCCACTTGAAGA